GTCCCAGCCGTCTGTTCCTCGCGGGCGATCCAGCCATATAAGGGGCGCGCGCCGACCAGATACAAAGAACATCGTCCGAGTGGCATCGCCTCGATCGATTACTATCGTCATTACACCTCACATTGCTTCAGCTCACCTCACTCCACCTTACCTCACCTCACCTCGCCTCACTCGACTTCCCTATCTCACTGCTGCTCTTAGCCTGTCACACAGCGTTAGCTACGACCTTTACCTTAGACATCAATTGCACTTGGTGTTTCCGCCCGGCTTGCATTGGCTGCTGCGAGGAAAAAGAAACAATCCGAGCTTTGCTGCCACAACATACACACATTTCGACACATTATCATCATCACCACAACCACCACCGCGCGCGCTCTCTCTCACATCGCCTTTTCCTTCACCTTAGCCCACGTATCTTTGGCCCTGCAATTGGTAAGTTCTAGTTCCTTCCTGCGTACCCAGCACAAAATTCAAACCCCAGGTGCCTCCTTCTTGTATCACCAAGGGACGATACCTACCCACCTAACTACCTGCCTGCCGATCTGCCTGCCCTTCCTTCCCAACCTTATACATACTCGGCGCACACCTTCCTTCTTTTAACCTCATATGCCTCCTTCCTTCCAGTCTTCGCTTGCCCGAAAACCCCTCGGACCGGATCGTGCCTTTCTTGACACCTCGACGTGGGGCTCCTCGCTTTGCCTCCGTCCTCAGATTCACTTTTCACGTCGTGGCCCTTGCCTATCCCATCCAGCCCATGTCAAACACCAAAACCAGCACCAAACCTCCTCCTCCTCCTCCTCCTCCTCCTCCTCCCCCTTCTTCTTCTTCTTCTTCTTCTTCTTCACCTTTCAACGAGCTGGTCCTTTATTCCCCTACCTGAACTCTGCCAACCTCTCCTTCCTCCCTTCCTACACATCGCGTACTTTTTTCAGCAATTTCTGCAAAACTGCCCCCATTGACTCTGTTTTCGACCTCAGACATCTATCTTTCTTTGGTCAAACCCATCCCCTCTCGGTCTATACCTCGAACGTCAACAGCCGACCTCGCTAAGGTAAGTGCAAAATCGCTTGCTTGCTTGGTGGCCATTCCAACAACAACAAAAAACCTTATATGCCCGAAGCAACTTTTAGGATCAAACCGAATCCCGGCAGATGCTGACTCGAGGATCCAGGGTCAAAAGGAAGCTTTGCAAAACTCGGAAGACTGCCATCCTACTGCCACCAAAGCTTCGCACTTCTTCCACAGCCCCAAGAGCTCAACCTACAGGGCCAACAACGCACACCAACATCCGCACCGGCACCAACACCGCAAAGGAAACCCATCGCACAGGACACGGCACACGCGACGCACAGGGCCTACAGCACGTCCAGACCATTCCGAACACCACGTCCCAAGCCCCCGAGTTCGTCGAGCACTTTTGATTCACCATGGCCGTCGCGAGCGCTTGCGCCCACTCATTCAAAATGATCAAGTCAGATAGCACTCTGATCCAATGGACCTGCAACCTATGCCATTCCGGCCCTCACTGGTGCATCTTTGAATGCCGGTATTGCAAAATCCATACATGCCGGCCATGCACCCAGAACGCCTGAACAGTCCGCGTCCAGTGCATCCGTCGGCGCCGCCATGGCATACGCCTCAGACGACACCCACTCGAGGGGACGGTGCTCGCCGTGAGGGGAGGAACGACGACGCACGCCGACGACGTGGGGGTTTTGCATTGGATGCACTTAAGGTATGCTCAAAGACATTCTGCTGTTGCTGCTCCCCCTGGAGCAGTCATTAGCGTCTCAGAATGGGCTGCTTCTGATGACGCAAACTCCCTTCCATCACCACCACAACACTAGACACCTGTCTCGCCCTATCCGATCCCGATCTCGTCACCGTCTCTCATTGTATTTCACCGCATCCGCATCCCAGGTGGAATTCTCTTCGAGAGACAATGCGGAACGGCAGTTGCAAACTGTCATCTTGCGATTGAGGCATGTCACCCGCTAACGCAAGCCTAGGTCCCACTGATACCCTATACGACCGGAATCCCTCTTTTTCTAGTGACGACGCTGTGATGCCGCCCCGGTGCGAGCAGAACCGTATGCATGCAACTGAGGAGCGCCCTAGCGATCGATGCCGACGGTAGCAGGCAGGACCACTTGGATCGGATCACGCCGGATTCTTCCTCTCGGGGTTATCCCCCTTTGATCCCTTCACTCACCGCAGCGGCCGTCAACACCACGAACGCAATGCAGCTCTTTCCCTTTTCGATTTTTGAGTTTTTTCGGCCATTCTTTTTGTAACCCTACCCGGACTGTTTGGATTCGCGTCAATTACACTAGGTACGAACAGGACCAGTTCCGCCATCCCTGCAGCCCCGGTAGGGCCCTCGTTTCTAGCCCTGGTTCAACTTATTGATGCCGAATTTCGGCGCTGCAAGGCGCACGTGGGACCCTCTGGCTTAGGTACCTGTGCAGCTGGCTGCAGTTAGACGGCCCCGGCGGGGAGCACATCCCGCCAACAGGGGACCGATCTAGCGCCTGTGTCAACGGCTCAGCCCCTGTGCCATGATGTTCTCGATTTGCCGTGCCTGGCTAGGGACGGCAATGATACGATGGCACCCTGCCACGGTCACAATCTGGAACCGCCAGGCACTGAAGCCCAAACCAGAAGGGACCTCGGCCGCCTCGGTTTGGGCCGGATATCACACTGATTCGACCGCAAAGACAAACACACACACTCCTTTCTCATTTCACATTTGATCAACACACGGCGAAGGAGTTTTTTATCGGCTGCACGAAGCCCAATACCCCCTCTTCATTCTACGGCAATAGGCAAATAACGGCAACACTTCTTGCTTTCCTTGCTTCTTAGGCGTTTACCCATCTGTAGTTCGTGGAACCAGGAAGGATGAGGCGAAGGAGGGGCAAGGCAAAGGGCGAAGGAAACTCATAGCGGGACTTGTGAGACGTAAAGACTTCTTTCTCTGATAATAGACTTTGGGCTCTGGAAAAAACGGTTTCACGGAGCATGGTAGGCAAGAAGATAAAATTGGGATTAGATTAGGTCACATCAGCACGCAAGAGCTGGTGGACTGGACGGTGGCGGTAACTTGTCAATTTCAAGTTTTCTTATTCTCTCCTCCTGTCACAGACTCACACTACAATACGCTTGCGATTTCTTGTCCAGGCAGCTCGTCTTTTGGTCACTTATCAGCTTGTCACTTTTGTGGTTGTTGTTCTTTTTTTTTCCCGTCCCGTGATTTTTTGCACTACATACGCGCCATTGCGTCTCGGTCTCACTTCTGATGTAACTTACACTCTGGAGACGGAGCTGTGTCCGGTTGGTCCGGCAATTGTAGGGCTTCTGGGGTTCACACGGTTACAAAATTTACACAACACGGTAGCGAAAAGGTGGAAAGAAACCAAGCAGCAGAAATACATCGAAATTCTGGTCGTCTACCTAGAAATCACGCCCGTACAGCCTACCTTCTCTAGATGGACTTGAGACGGCGAAGACAATGTCACCCCGGTGTTACCATGGCCCCGTTCCGGATGTGAGGAGCCCCCTGAGGGGGAGGAGGCTGTGTGTAATCGCCTCGGGCCTTTCGTGAAGTTCGTGAAGAGTCGGGCGTCACGGACATGGCAGACGGGGGACAGAAACGTCTGTGGGCCTCTTGGTTTCCTTTGCCAGGGCGCCTTTATGTTTCCGTCGTACGAGAGGAGAAAACGGCGCGACACGAGTGGCCTGCCGTATGCACATCTGACAGGTTGGACGGGGGGAGGGGAGGCACGGCGGTCTAAAAGCCCCGAGTTTAGTATGTTCCCTTTTCTCCGACTCCCACGAGGGGAGCGAGGGTTTGCGCGAGGATTTGGACTGTCGTGTAACGGGCGTGGGCCCTGCCCCGGCGTTCGTGTCACCACCTTGTGTCCCTCTTTCTTTTGCGACCCAGGGTTGGAATGCCAGGTCCCGTTACGGCGGAGCTGGGTCCTCAACGCCAATGACTCTTTTCGTAAAAAAACAAGGGGTGGGCGGTGATCGGTGAAGAATCCTCGCGGTGGCGGATGACGGGGTGGAGATGTGAGGCTCTCTGGACGAGCTGGGTCCGGCGCGGGTGTTGAAGCTCGGCCTCGGCATATTGGTGTTTCCCGTCAAGCAGGACGGGAGAGAAGAAACTCGCACAAATTGTCCTTCCTCCTTCCCAACTCGGATGAAAGTTTTTCTTTGGTTAGCCTCGACGACGGGAGGCCGCATACCGTGGCCAACGCACCAAAGACATCGGCGAAATACTTGGAGTTATTTTTCCATTCTGTGATCCGTCTCTTTCCATCGCCGCAATGAACGTTTGCTCTGTATGTGCGGCGGGCCGGCGCCGAGGTGATGGGAACGGCCTGGGGGCACAACGGGCCAGACTTGCGCGTTTGTCGACCTGGAACCTGGTGCGTTTCCCAGAGGCCGATTTGCAGGGAAGCCTCGCGGAAATCTTCATCGTCGACTGTCCGTTTTGTATTCATCTAACCACCACCCTCCGTTGCCGTGATAGGCAGACCGAGGTACTTGGTTACACGTGCAGGGCCTACCAGATAGGGGAATGGGGGGGGGGGGGGGAGGGTGCCGATGGCAGAAACGACAAAACATGTGAGAAGCGACTCGTATCTCAGGATTCCAGGAATTCTAGGAATTCTCTCGCTTTGATAATCAGGAGATGATGACACTTGGAAAGATGACCGGCATGAGGTGGGGGCATGAGATGGGTTGCACGGCGTTTGGCATTTCTGCATGGCGGGGTTCGGTCACTTTCGCTAGTAACCTCTTCACATGTTAAATTTTTAATTTCAATGTGACAATGAACGAGCCCCCGTTCAGAATACTACCTTCTACCTCTTGCGCTTACAAAACATGTGAGATCTGACATTTATCGTTTACTTGTGAAAAGAAATGCCTTTGGGGCTCATTCCAGCCTCGAGCGGGCACGCCGGTGGAAAGGGGGGGAAACCGAAAACACAGGGCTACGCAACGGCCGGGGCCTTCTTGGCCGGGGCCGAGAGGTCCCAGTCGAAGACGGTGCGCTCGGCGTTGCGGCGCGAGATGGTGACTTGGTCTCCGACGCGGACGTGGATCCTGGGCTGCTCCTCTCCAGCCCCGTCGCCGGCCCCGTCGACGACGAGGAAGGCGTACCGCCCAAAGACGGGCGCGTACTTGTGACCCGGGTCGACGCGGCGGTCCTTCATCAGCGTGTTGAGGAGCTTGCCCTCCTGCCCGGCCGCCGCGCGGCCGAGGTCGTAGTCGACGTTGAGAGAGGAGCAGCGGCCGCAGTTTGCCGTGAGGAGGAGTTTTGCGTTGGCTGGAGTGCCAGTGCCGGAGGCGGTGAGGGCGAGCTCGGCCCAAAAGTCCTCGGCGAAGGGGGCCTCGGTGGGGTCGTCTACGACGATGTTGGGGCGGAACTTGGACATGATGGGGGAGTCTTGGAAGGACGTCAGGGAGGGGTAGGAGAGGGAGGAGTGTGAGGTCACGAGGTAGGGCGCGCAGTCGGTGAAGGTCAGCCACGCCGGGGCGTCTCCTTCCTCGCCCCGGGCTTCCGGGGATGAAAATGATGGGAGGTAGGATGCGATGGACGACAAGAGTGAGGAGGGCTGCTGCTGCTGCTGCTTGGATGAGGATGCCGGAGAGAAAGACCCCGGCGCAAGGGTGCCGAGGACGCGGCGCCGACCGGAGCCGATGTGGACTAGGATCGTGGGGAAGCCGAAGCAGGCGGAGAAAAAGGCATCGTAAGGCTCGCCCATGCGGAGGGCCTCGGCGGGGCTGCCGTGGAGGTCGACGGAGACTGGTTCGAGAGTGGAGGTGTCCGGGACGAGGGGCACGGAGAGGGTCGTATCCTGGAGGGGATGGCGGTCTACCAGGGGCGGGTTAGGGGTGTGGTATCTGACGAGGATCATCTTCCCAGGGCTCTTGTCGGAAGAAGAGGAGGAGGGGACGATTTCCTGGGAGAAGAGGGCGCATTGCGGAAACGTGGAGAGTTGCATCTTGCGGAGGGACGAGTCCGGATTCACCTTGAAGAGCATGTAGGTCCGATCGTAGAGAATGCCCTGCGGAGTGAGGGTCGCCGACTCTAGGGAGATCGGGCGGAGGGCCTTGATGGGGTAAACGTTGAGGGCCTTGATTTTCATTATGGCTGATTTCGGAGTAACTGTTTGTGGCGCGGTTAAATGAAAATTTTGAGATGCGACTGTGAGGGTGCCGTCTTTGTGTGCTGATGAAGAGAGGTCGTTGATAGTCGCGGGCCAGTTTCGGTGTGTAGTCGGTTGAGAGTTTCGGGAAGGTCGACGTCAGTCGAGGAAGCTTATTCGGCTTCTGGCTATGGTGTGGAGCAGGGGGCTGCCCTTTGACCCCTCTCAGTCCCTGGACAGATGATATGGGACGCAGCTACAGGAGCGTTACAGTGTCATCCACGTAATGTCACAATAGTCGGCGTGATGATGCAAGATGAAAGGGTATATTCTGCCCGGGGAGAAAAATCGCTAAAACACGGATTGAATGTCTGGCTGCAACTTATCACAGTTTGCGGGGCGCCGTTGGGCTCCGGTCCTTGTGGAAACCAATACGCGAAAGACGTCAGTTGAGAGAAATGGCTTGATAGCGTAGATACGTGGCAACGAGGGGGAGGGAAAGTGTTGAGCTTTCCTGTGTCACCAAAGACATTGGTAACCTTTCCGGCCCGGTCGACGCTGGTGCCGGCTTCGGGAGCGCATCCGAAGGGTCCCCGCACCCGCCGCCGTCCGAGAGCGGAGAGGAAGCGCTCATCCGCCAAGTGGTTGACGCGCTCAAGAGCGTGGCACTGGGACCTATCACTAGGGGCCCACATAATTCCGCGTGTGTGATGGGTTACCTCCGATGTTTGCGATGGATCTGATATGAGATACTAGACTTAAGCAGCTGGGTATTGTAACTCGGTATCTGTCAGTTAGGTGCTCAGATAAAGCGAGAGATCATTCAAATCAGGAAAGGAGGCACGCGGCTTGAACCGTCCCCGTGTGAGCACCTTCTCAGATTAGGACGTGAGAAATGATGGACAGGACGAGAAAGGGGGGCAACGTTTTTGCAAGGCAATGAGACCGCCGACATGCAGTCCTCGCCCCGAAAGGGAAGCTGACCGTGTCATGGTCCAAGGGCCGTCGGCGGCCCCACATGAACCGCTCCGTAGCGTCGTCGCTTACCGTTGGGTCCCGAAATTTTGTCCGGCCGCCTGGGGTGGAAATACGGCGATCTTCCGAGAATGGCAACCGAGGCGCCAGTCATTGGCTGGCCTGTTACAGGTTTGATTTCGCGTGGAATTGCTGTCCAACAGGGCTACCTCGGACCCCACAGGACTTGAATTCATTACCCAGAAGTCTTGACGTCTGAAGGTGTGCTCGTCCTACTCCCGACATCCTGACTAGTGAATTGGTTACCTAGAACGGCTACTTCACAAGCTGGCTCAAAGTTTATTCTCTTGGTGTATGCAGACCGCGGGAGCGTTCGGGGTCCAGTTGGCTTGGAGGCCAACTGCAGCGTCTTACTACTTACGTGGGATAGACCACGCTGGTCAGGGCGCCAACGCCCGTTAGCGCGGGTGCCAAAACTTGCTTCGGGCGTTCGAGACCAACCCGTAGTCCCGGGCCTGCTGATCAAGGACGGGCGTTGAAGCCGTGATGTGAGAGAACATAACCGTGACGGGGTTGTTTGGACGGGATCCAAAGAACATGCGTTCGTCCATCCGCCGCGCCTCAGCGAGTCGGCGGTGTCAGCGAGCTGCAGACTGCCAGGTAGCGTCGGTTAGACATCCGCCGCCTACAGCGACGAAGCTCTGCAAGGGAGGGTGTAAGGGGTTTATCCAACATGTAACACCGACACGCAACGAGGTACGAGGTAATTCGAATGGATGATGTCGACGACGGCATTCTCGATCAGCGCTCCGGCCCAATAGGAAGACGCTTCTGTGACGCAAGCCCAAATAGCTAGGTGGTTTTCTTGGCACAGAAACATCTAGCGGGGGTTTGTCACCGCCACGATAAACAGTAGCTTCGCTGACAGGCGAAACCGAGGGTTTTGCTTATTGCACGGCCGATCAGCTAAGCTATCGACTCTGGAACTCCCCGATCGCTTGGGCACGAAAACACGTGAAGTAACAGCTGGGGTTGTGGAACCCCTTGTTTTCCTACTCCAAATACCCGAAGGCCAGAAGATGTACCTGTGATGTACAGACCAGCCTAGTTTCAAGGGCATCATGGAGGCTAATCAACAATGTTTGGGATACTACTGAAGGGAGGCGCGCAAGGAACCGTAGAATGACGCGTCCACAGCATCAGGTCAGTGGCAGATATTGTCCTATCCCAGATTTGGCTCTTGAACCTTCCAAAATGACTGATTCATGATTGCGTCCACAACCTTAGTGTAATTCAAGTATCCTGGTCAGTCGGCTAGTCAGTCACCAAGAGAACCTGGAGATTACCGAGTCCGGGGAAGCCACCGACTGTTCCGCCGACGGACATTTACAAAGGCCGATCCGTCCAACTCGCCTTCATTTCCCAAGCTTCCGATTTCATCTAACGTCAATTTTGCCGACATGGATCTGATGAGTGACTTTCATGTCGGCCCGTCACCTCCGTCTTTACCCCTGTCTGTGAATTAAACACCCTCCTTTCAAGGTGTTTGGCTGTCAGTTTATCTCAGATATGGCCCGAGAAAAAAGTTGAATTAGAAGGAACACAGTAGCTCTCGCCAAGGGTGATCTTAATGATAGGGTAGGTATATTACCCATCAATGAGGTAAAGTCTTCACTTACTTCATTGGTGTGAGCCACTGTTACGTGCCACTATTGACTAGACCTAGACTAAGGCAGGCAAGGTTGTGCGAGCAATCTCGCTGCTGTTGTCGAGTTAGGCATTGGTCATTATTCGAGAATTGCGTACCATGTTTCCAGCTCAAACGCTGAGGCTAATGATGCGGCCGAGGCCTTAGGCATACATCGTCCCGAAATCTACTGCACTAACGCAGTTGCTAACCTGGAACTAGGTTTCTCTTCCTAATTAATTTCGATGCATGTGCTGCAAGAATGAATGGGAATTGATGGGGGAGAAGACTATCCCTAAAGAACATGGGTAGCGAGTTGTGCCGATGATGGGCTGATGTAACGTGGCAACTGTTTTAAAAACGTATAGAAGTCGCTCTGAGGAAATGCAGATAAGAAAATATGTCTAACGTGGTAGAATTAGCTGGTCATGTCTTGTTGGAATTGTTGAGTACCATGCCTTTGGCTGTCATAACCATTAGTAATGCCTAAATCCCACATGCGTAAACGATCAATGAATGTTTCATAGTGAACAAACACGAAACTATTGCGGGTGGAACAATACTTACCCTAGCATCCTCATTGGGTTTAAAGGTCGTATTATTTACTTCCACCTGGTAGACCAATGACTAACCTGCATATCGATGTTGAATCGAACCCCTACACAACCTAACTTCCGCTGCGGGCTAGGTCACAAATCCTTCCCACATGGTATACTTCATAGGAACGCTGTCCGGCGAAGGAGTCAGACAATGCTTCTCTCAATTTACTTTGGGCAAACCTGAATCCTCTAAATCACACATAAAAACAACCTCTATTCTAGCTGACTTCTAACAAGCTACTTTAGTCATATTCATTGACACTATAATACCCGAAAAACTTGTAAGTGAGGCACGTCTTTTGACTACGTTAGGTCATTCCCGCTATCCACGTTCAGTCTTCAACCCTTCAATCTAAGAACTGAAGGCAGCTGCCATCCTTGCCTCCAGATCTTTCTCAGAAAGGAGTGGAACGCCCACCAGCTCGTTATCAACCTTGTCGTATGCAGCTGCGTAGCGCCCACTGAAGAGGGCGGTCTTGATGACCTCGAGCAATTTATGCTCGTTATAGGGGTCCTCCAAAGCAGCCTTTAGAGCTTTGTCGAACTCGGCCTTGCCATCCAGCTTGGTCTCCTTCCACTGCGTCCCTGGCGGTGAGTATTTCTTGGCCAGCGCCAGCAGTTGCGCTTGAGAGAGCACAAGCTCATGGATTTTGAGGTTGCGGTTCTTAGTAGCCTCGGGGTTTTTGAGAGCACCGACGACGGCTTTTCCAATGCTGGCGATGCTGGTACTGCTGAAGCGGTGCTCGCCGTCGTCGTACAGTTCGACGCTCTTGTTGCCGAAGTCGAATGCGATAGGAAGTTGGGCGAAGAAGTCGGTGAAGCCGCCGATCGAGAAGATGGTGTACTCGATCTCGCCGGCGCGGGCCTTCTCGATGAGGTATTTCTGAGTGTTAATCATTGGGCCGATAATGGAAGCCAGCTCGCTGTGCGCCTTGGGGTCAGTCGTGAAGGAGCCCCAGTCGGAGGGAATGTAGCGCTTGACGCCGGCCTTGATGCAGGCGTCGATTACCGCAGGCTGTGTGAGCAGGCCGCCTTTGCTCACAGTCGAGACAACCACATCCTGACCTTGGAGAGCGGGAGTGAGACTGTCGACAGAATAGTCGACGACTTTGAAATCGACACTAGCAGGGAGACCTTCTTTAGCTGAATCGGAGCGGCCGAAGACAGTAACATTGAACCCGGCGTTGACTAGTTCTGTGAGAATAGCGGACCCGAGATATCCTTTCTGTAGGAAGGTCACTATCAGCATTGTAGTAGGTATTGGGAGAGATGGGTCTTACACCGAGGAGTGCGACGTTCTTAAAGGTGCTCATGTTGACGATTGGAAGTTAACAGTTGTATGTTCGGGGTATTGAAGTTGAGATGCTTGTTTTGATGCGGTGATTGTTACAGTTGAGGAGCTGGTTGTCCTACATCATGTGAAGTCTGGCGACGGATACCTTTTTATACCATGCTCAATCGTGTTCGGCCAGCATCTTTACGCACTTCCCTTCCGACCCGCTAGTCGCAGGGTCGAAGAAATCATTATTCAGCTGTGAGAGACTCATTGCTATGTGCGCTGTGTCGGATGTGGCCGTAGGGACTCCACGAGATTCGACTGACAATGAAGCGAATTCATAGGCCCCCCTTTATAGCGTCAAATTGGCGGATGTAAATACTGTGTCCGCCGTGGGCGAATGGCAGCGTGAACTTCTGTTTTGAGGGTCACTGCGAACGCTTTGCTGGAAAGACTAGGCCAATCCGTGTAGAGATGGGGGCGGAAGCTTTCATGGTGCAATCTAGCGGGGAAACCCAAAGGCCCTAGTTTGTATCCGCAGAAACATCCGCCGTTGCGCCTGCGTTGACAAAGCGCGGATGCTTATTAATATCCGACCTCACACCACCTGCTTCTAACTAACTCCCAACGGCATACACAGAGCGGATGGTTTTTTCGCCCTTGTAGCGGATGTAATCTGCAAATTTTTGGATGTCGCCATCATCCACCGGTTTCACGTCGTAGTCATGGTTAGTGCCACAGAAAGCATCGCCTCTAATGACGGCAATGGAGAGGAGTCTCACAAGAAGCGGATCTACAGTGTAAGTGACCTCAAGGTCCTTGGGGCCATGCTTTCTGACCAAAGCCTCTAGGCATGCCAGAACTGTCAAGCAAGGAAACGGCGTTGCGATGGGGGTGAGCCTGCGTGTGGGCTCTGCACACGGTTGAATGTATCCTGTGTCTATACGCAGCGAAGGAAGAGAGGACCAGGGCGGAAGTCTGGACCCAAGACCTGCTGACGCTGATGGATATAATACTGATATGCATCAACAGAAGCAAAACAGCGAGAGACTCGGAATCGAAAAATCAGGGTATTGAAGCGTCTTTGCGTCAAATGCGCCAACTCAACGTGACTGATGATCACATCGTGAACGAAGACGGGATTGACGGTCAGGTGCAGCGTCAGCAGCCGCGACGCCAATCCGAAGGACAAATCAGCACATCAAAACCGCAGTCGACTCTAAGCTCAACGCGTTCATCGGCAGTTCCAGAGAGTCTGGTACAGGGTACTCAAAGTCGCTCAGCTGATCAAACAGGCTCGGTCGAAGTTGAAAAGGGGGTCACTGTTGACCCTTTATTCCCCTCAAAGAACGTCTTCTCTCGCGCCGTCTTCTTTGATGGACTTCGGAGAGTCCGAAGACAGATCGAGGATGGTATGGACCGGAGACCGTTCAAGAGAGAGAGTTTTGTGACATTGCCGCCAAAGGAATATGTCCTTGACATGCAGCAAACAGTGATCGAAGAAGTGCAGCTATTCTGTCCGTCCATGACCCCAAGCCACTTCCTGCGGCTCATGGACGCGCAGTACGTAGATGATCACGGAAACAACAATGACGATCCAACGAGGTTCGCCATAATCAACGCCCTCTTCGGAGCTGCGATGCGATGGAGGACAGCAAACGACTCCTTTGAAGAGATGAGCGCAGGTAGCTGGTGTTACTACAAGAACGCATATGCGATATTCCCGGAACTCGTGGTTCAGGGAAACAATGTATCGGCCTGTGAAGCGCTGCTGTCGATGGCTACATTCTCGTTGGGAACAGCTGATGCCTGTACAACCTCGCAGCTGGCATCTGCGGCAGCTCGAACAGCGCAGATACTGGGGCTGCATACAAGAGAGACCTATAACAACCTCGACGCCATGGAGCTGGAGCGGCGCAAGCGGATTTTCTGGGCGACACACATCCTTAATACGGATATGATGGTCAAGTACGGACTACCTACACCATTTGGCCAAAGTGAGTTGATCGAGCTCCCTACGGAGGACTTCATCACTGTTAGTGGTCCGGCCACACAACCGCTGAACTTCGTCACAAGCATGGCGCGGCTCTCTCGAATTCAAATGCGGATCCATGAGCAATTCTCGCAGCACAATATCCAGCTCCAGTCAGGTTCGGAGCACCACATAGTCGTCATAGCATGCAATTGCGAGCTTGACGAGTGGAGGGACTCCCTCCCTCAAGATTTTCAGCCTGATCCTACCGCCCTCCTTATGACCAGAGAGCTGGAAACACCGGTTGCTCTGTTGCATCTGGTCTATTTCAATACCTTGATCAAGACGCACATGACTTTGGCTCGGATCAAGAACGCATCGAGGCTGCACCCGTCATCCCCGTTCTATAGTGCATGGTTGAGCACTGAGTCTTTACCAAGCATAGAGCAGTCTTATGCCAAGTGCACGTCGGCGGCTCGGGCAACGATCGATCTTCTACGGACGATACCTCCGCAACCATATGTGCACCTATGGTAAGATTTTCTGTAAGCACCAGAACTGGTTGCGAATGCTAATTTTAAAAGGGCTATACTTTGCTACCCAGTAATGGCCACCCTCATACTGCTTTGGTCTTCGCTCGAGGAGCCAACAGGACCACACGCCCAACTCAACGTCAGGATCATGGGGCAATTTATCCAGTTCCTGGCGGGAGTCAAGGAAGAAGGTTGTGATGTACAGAGCGTACTGGACGGCTGCTCAAAGCTCTACAAAATTGCCAAATACGTCGTGCATACTCAGAGAACGATCAGACTCTCGAGACCGTTAGAAGAGGATCAGGATGTGAGAGACCAACTCGAGGTGAGCGATTCAGGACTTTGCACTCCTGCTGAACTAACCCAGAAACCCCCTTCTAGGCCCTCCGCCTCAAGCTCTCGGAAGTCACCGACTGGATGCACCTTGCTCAAGGCCTCTTGAGCAACATGCCCCTTTTGATGGCACAAGCAAGGGAAATTTTTGCAGACGTCCTCGGGATGGACCAGGAAGATGGAAAGTATGGGATGTTTGTCCCCGAAATGCTGAAGCCGCACAGATACAATGTCTTGTTTGGTCCTTAGTAGACCTTGTGCTACATGTAGTCTTTCACATACCCTTCTCACAGCAACGCTATGAGAGCAATAATAGATGCTACAGTCACAGCAGCCGCGGCTCTTCCGATTTCAGCTGTTGTCGAGGCTCCCGATGGATTCGGTGAGGACGAAGGTGTAGCTCCTCCCCCTCCTCCCCCTCCTGCACCACCGCTGCCGTCGCCGCCGCCGTTGCCTCCGCTGCTTCCGCCCGTGCTCGTCTGACTACTCCAGTACGTCTGATTCCACTCTGCATATGACAAACTCGAGTTTAGCCTTAGCCTAGGATTGAGATCATCCGGTGTGATTGTCCGGGTGGCGACGGTGCCGTCCCAGCAGTGGCGCCGAAAGCACTCCTGACACTTCTCTGGCAGCTCAATTCCAAGCCTTGTCAGACTACCCCGGATTGTCGCACAGGCGAGACAGGCGGGCCACGACGAATCGACGGTGCCATTGCCGTAAGTCGCAAGGTTGAAGGCGTTGTCGGCTGTCAGATCGAACTCGTTGTCCGTAAAGGATGACTTGAAGAATGTAAAGTTGATGTAGCCAGACCACGGCGAGTTAGGGAGGTAGAGCACTAGCGGCGTGGGCGGCGAGGTGGCGGCGTCGCACCCGAAGAAGGTCGGTTGCTTTGTCAGGTTTTGGGTTACTAACGTCGCGACGTCGGGAATCCGAGGAAAGGGGATGTTGCCTTGGGCCGCGGACTGTGCAGCGTTAACAAGGTTGGTGCCGTTGACCCAGTTATACTTTGCGTCTGAGGACGCTTCGTAAACGATGATGAAGTCTACCTGACGTTCGGGGATGATCAGGGGGCGGATGGGGTTCGTTTCTCCCCCAAGACTTCCGTCGACCAGGAGAAGCTCGTCGACCCCCTGCATGGCTGGGTTATAATTCTCAAAGGGGTTCGGGTACGTGGCCCAGAGGGACTCGTTGAATGTCTGGTTGAAGAACTGGGCAGTCTGGTTGACGAGGATCACACGCCCGTCGTCCTCGAACTGGGGAGGCGGGATTATATTACCGGAGGTCGGCGGTCCGGTCTTCAGCGCGCGCTTGGCGAAGATCGGTGTGTCATACCATTCATCAATGAACCAGGCATCGAAGGCGTTGGCCGTGGATCCCTGAATGAACGTGAACTTGTCAAAACCCTGTATGCACTCGCTAGTGTTCTGTGCTGTGCCGTTGGCCATGGAGGTTCCGAGATACATCGTAGGCATGAAAGCTTGGATCCTCCCACCCCTCCAACTTCCGAACTCGAACGGGGTCACTTCGTACGAAGTTAGGTTGAATCCGTTGGTGGCATTCCTCCCAGGCCACATTATACCACCGATGTTAGGCGACTGTCCGGGAATGACTTCGGAGAGAGAGACAATGGGCATCGGAGCCTCGCCCAGAGAAAAGACGGTTCCGGGAAGGGTGAGATCTGAGTAGTTGCCGTACGTCCGGTTTTCAGGTAGATAGATTCCCCAGAACTGACCAAAGGCATCGGCAACGGAAACAGGCAAACCGGTCTCGGCTTTAGCGCCAAGATTCTCAAAGATCTCTGTCAAATACGTTGTTTGATTGCCATCAGGACCGACAGTGTAGTCCACAGTGAAGTCGATCTGCTTCCTAAGGGCGTCTATCGTGACAAAGTCATTCGCAGCTCTGATCTCGATGTAAGCTACGTGAAAAAAGTCATACTCAGCGTTCAGGAAACATACAGCGTGCTGACCGTGAGAGCACCGCCTCCACTTAGACCAGTGATGTACGTCAAGACCTGCGTCAGCCCTCCCGTGCGGGCCGCGACCGCAGCAGGGTTGCGGGCATCGAAGGCTTGCCAGATTCCCAGACCTCCAATGCCGGACTGAGTACCTCCTCCCGAGATGGAGAGGCCAACAACCGGAAAGTTGGAGGTGTTGAGACGTTGGATGTAATCCTGCACATTGAAGCCATCGATGTTGGCCAACGTGAGGTATGAGCTGAGAGCCGGAATGACTTTCTCCCCACGGCTGACTTTCCAAGACGATTCGCTTCGCGATAGTCCCTATGTTGAGAAGTCAACAGCCGGCCCTCGTCATCCGAAACGTGAGGACTTACTTCTGAGGCAGGCCTCACTCTCAAGCCGGAGGGGCAATTTGCGTAAACAGGAGCAAAAGGGTCGACTCCTCCATCACCTTGTCCCTGGGCGACAGCGAGCCCAGCAATAGCAAGAACGCCTGCAAGTGAACAGCGGTCAAAGATTGACATGATGACGTCAAGCTCCTTGAGTTCTCAAAGTGCAGGCCAGGAATAGTGATGACGGCTAACGGAGCCAAGTTACAAGCTGCGAGCTCTGTTTCCTTTATTCCTCGTCTCATCGGTGCAAGTATCAAATCCCACTAGGTTTGCTCATGGATTTGTGGCGCCTCAGCAATTCGCGGGGAACCTTCACTAAGCCATATCGACGAAGACGGCTTTTTGCACAAGCATCAAGTAAGTAGTAGGAAACTTGATTGTCGGATTTACGTGAGTCGAAAGCTTGTTCCTGTAACCTGCGGTGCTGCGGCAGAGCCCAGGGACGCCAATCCAATAAGACTTATCGATGTTCGTCGCTTCTAGCTAGGTCTTCCTCACTGACCGCGTGGAGCACGCGGGTTCGTGAGACACGCCAATAGAGTTAGTAAACATGCGCATCGTTTTTCACATGAAAGCGTGTGGTTTGGGGCTTTCCGTTTGGAATGGAGCAAACTTTTGGATGACGGAGTAGATACCTGCCGAAGCACAAGCTTGTTGAGAGACAGGAAGAGCGCACCTCTAAGCCAGGTTGGCGGCTCGGCTGTCAACTTTGATAGCCTGCAAACGGGGATAGGGCTTCAACAGCGTTGTTGAGGCGCCATGGAAAGGCACCACCTCAAAAGCGGCCATGGCTGAGATTGAGCTGTGGTTGCATCTGCCAGATGGAATGCCTCACCCCGCGCAACTCGCTCAAGTCGGCCGGGTGCCATTCGTCCCTAATTACCACCACAATTGCAGATGTTAAAGAGCTGTGCCGGAAGCACTCCTAGTCTGAAGAGGTTGCCCCGGGGCCGACCCCGCCAACAGCGAACGCGCGGGGTCGCTGAGCGTGGCCGATGGTAGCGAAGTTCTCTCCTTGCCACACTGGCCCAGATCAGAGCCACTACAACTCGATGTGAAGTCCTACGGATATCTACGACAGCTAGGAGTATACCGCAATTAACAGCCTTCACTCGGGAAAAATCTTAATCGCGCGAGAGAAACCAAAGTCACAACCGAGAAAGGTACCATTTCCCTTGTGGTTTGCTGCGCACCATGCAAAAGTGAGATCCACTTCTTGTTTACAGGCCCTCTTTTATGCACATGCCATCCATAGTCACTTTCCCCAGCTCCATCGTCAACTCCGCATCTCCTGATCCGGAACATCCACACATCGGCCCTCTGGCGCAACGGTAGCGCGTTCGACTCCAGATCGAAAGGTTATCCGTTCAAATCGGGTGGGGGTCATTCTTTTTCGCGTCACGAAGCCATCTCGGGCGTCTCTTTTTGTTTCCTGGACGCGTGGTGATGTTGGGATCTGCTGGTAGGGAGGGAGGTTTGCGGGTTATGGCGGAAACGATGCGCCGGCAATGGCCACTGGTCTGAGCTTGACCATGTGAGTGTGCGCTTGCCTAGAAACGCAGTTCCAATGTGCACAAAGTTGAATAGGGTCGAAATTGAGTGTTCCCCCAACCGGTTTGCCATCTTTAACCAATCAGTTATGAAACTTCAGTCTTTCCAATCAATTTTTGATGTGTTTGGCATGAGATAAGAGACAGAGCCACCGTCCCAAAGTCTTTTTAACCCGTCATTGAGTTTATGATTACGTGCGGCCTGCCAGGCTACTCAGCATCATCCGATGATCTCCAATATTGGCCAACTTTTCGAACCTTCATGTACAGTCCTGTGGACTTTTTCAGTCTGTGTAAAACAACAAAGCTGAATACCACCAGCCATCGGTTTTGAGATCGGTTCTATTGTGAGGGGAATGCTTGAGTTGTGACGAAATCACGGGTCAGGCTACAGACACCACAGCTAAGCATTACTTTGTCTCTGGAATTCATACAAAAGCAACTTTGTTCATCTAAGTCTATTCTAGCGTTTGCACTTTTTCATTTTCAACGGTTTCTCTATTTGAAGTTCTCCCGAAACATTTTCAACGCAACACCCTTCTCCCGCAACGCCGCTTTCGCATTCCCGTTGACGCCCTCCACAGGCCCGCGTTCAAAGGTGTACACCTCCTTGACGCCCAAGCTCTCGAGATAGTCTAAATTGCGCTTGTAGTTCGTCGCAACCTGCGCGATACCGTGGCTGTCGTCGGAGAACGTGAACCGTCCGCCCATCTCGAGCCAAGTCTGTGAACAGTAACGTCAGCAACAGCACCTCAGATCGTAATACGTCCTCTCAACTGTGAGTGCCGAAACACAGAAAGCGAGAACTCACCTCGGCGATAGCCCGACAAGGGTAGGGCTCATCGAGACCCTTCCTCAACGCACTGCTATTGCACTCCAACAAACCGCCATACCCCTTCACGACCCCAAGATTCCTCACAATCCTCTCCCACACGCCCTTCCACTTCCTGACGTCCCGCCCGGGGTCCTCGCTCATCAGCCTCACGAGGTCGAAGTGGCCCACTACGCGCGGCTCCAGCGCCGTCAGCATCTCGTGCTGCTGGTCGTAGTAGCGCTCGTACATCTGCTCCTCGTTGCCGCCTGCCGTCTTCATCGCGTCAATGTACATCTCACGGCTGTAGTCGATGGGCACGGCGTTAACGTGGTGCAGCGAGCCGATGAAGTAGTCGACCGCCGGGTGGGAGGCGAGGGACTTGATGAAGGGCCCGTAGGCGGGGCGGTACCATTCCCCCTCGAAGCCGATGAGGAGGTGGATCTGGGAGGCGTACTTTTCGCGCAGGCGTTGAGCCTCGGCGAGATAAGCTTCGTGACGCGGGGCGAGGACGGAGAGGGCGCCTTCGGGGTCGCCGTCTTCGAGCTGAGGTACGGTTAGCATCATTGAAAAGGGACAGACGAGGAAGGGAGTCGTACTTCTTCAGGATAGAGATCTGCGATATCCAGACGGGGCATGTGTTCCGTCAGGCCCATGGTCTTGTAGCCTATGCTGATGGCATGCTGAATGATGGCCTCGAGCTGGTCCTTTGCGTGGCCGGGGCAGAACTGCCCCGAGTGGGAGTGCATCGTGAATGCCATGATGTACGGTGCGTGTGTAAGTGAGAAGTCGAGGTGAAGGTGATGAGTTGTGAGATGAGATGAACTGGAGGATCTGAGTCAGGGCGTGATAGCCTAGGCGGTTGAGTGGGTGACGTATTCCGGCAGAGTTACCGACACGGGACGATCCAGTCTTACAGGTCTTATCAAAACACAAATTTGAAGCGCTGGCCTAGATTGAGCGCACAACTTTATTTGCAAACGATTTGTGATGTTCAAGGACACAAGATACGAAATAGAGGCACAGGCTATCTCCAATCACTGAACGATGAGCGGCTGTATTTCCCATAGGACACGCCTCGGGATGCAACCATCTTCCCCCGAAAACAAGCGCTGCAGTTCCCCACCACCCTCAGAAATTTCGGGGCCCGACGGGTGATGGCCGCATTGCCGTAGCAAATCGCTGACGCTGATCCGTCCACGTTGGCGCGCATGAATTGCACCACTCCCTCCGCATGCCAAGGTTCGCACATCCGCGGATGCCTAGAGTCTCGGATACAATACATTGGGTGTCAAATGACACATGTCCAAGGAAGGCACTTTATCCATATCGCTCGCTGATGTGTTTATGTTCCGACACCCTCGCCAGACTCGTCAATTGCTTCAGTGGCAGTCAAAGTGCAAATTGTATGTACAAGAAAGACAGCAGATAAAAGAAGCAAAAGCAGAAAAGAAGAAGAAGAAAATTTACGAGGTCGACTCGGACAGGAGGGTATCATGACGGCGGAATCCAAGTCTACGGCTCGCAAAGCCAGATCCGTAGAAAAGCATTACAGAGTTCTATAACAAAAGGAACTGGTAGCCCAAGCCAAACAAAACAATACGCTTTCTCTTCCCTTCTTCCTTTTTCAGGATTGTGATAATCCAGATGTGTGTTGACACTTCATGCCAAACAGTCCCAGCGAAATTTGGATTGTTTTCGAAATTCCATCACTTTTGCGGGGTCTCGGGAATTTCCCAGATCGACTTGGCTGGTTCCTCTGGATCCGCCTTAACGGCCGCTTCCTGTTTCACCTCCAGCATGCCATGGGGGTCTTGCGGCGCAAACGGGATTGCCGAGGTTGACGTGAACACTGGTAGGTCTGCCCGCATCATCTTGGCTGGCGACTTCTTGTTCGGCGATAGTTTAGCCGATGACAGCTTGGACGGAGAAGTCTTGACCGGCGTATTCATGTTGGGCGGCAGCCACTTCAAAGGTTCTTGTGGCGTCATAGATACGGGCGTTGGACCGTCGGGTTGATAGTTGATGAACACGTCCGAGTCTGACGGCGTCGCTACCGCCGGAGATGTGACCGGCGAACTGACGGGGAGCTCTAGCTGACGGGGGTCGGGAGTTACGGCCACGGGCATTTGCTCCGTTACCGGAGTGGATACTTCAGGCCAGCCCGATGGAGCAGCCGCCAATGATAGATCTTCGAAAGCCGGAGGCTGCGTCGGTGGTGTTGTGAAAGCCTCTTCTTGCGGAGGAGTGACCGTCGGAGGTGCCACTGGCGAGGGTGCAGTAGGGGTCGCGACCTGAGCTGGGAAAGCAGGTTTTGCCTCTTCGGTTGCAGATGGTATCGCCGCCTTGGCTTGCGCGGCTTGCGCTGCTTTAGCCCGCTCTTCCTTCTGCGTCTTTGTGATCAAGTTGATCTTGACCTTCTTCATGCCAGCCGTCAGTTTGTCCATATCATCTTCCGACGCAGCAGCCGGGCTTGGCTTTCTTTGAGGGGCTTGAGATGGTTGACTCTGCGGAGGAGGAGACGGCTTCGCCGGCGCGGTCGGCTTCTTGACTGTCCTCGTTGTCTTGGGGGCCTCCTTTTTGGCGGCAGGCGCTCTTGTTTTCTTTACAGTCAGAGATGTGCCGCTCTGGGTCCTCACGCTCATGGCCGAATCTGGCCTGACACTCATCGAAGTATCCGGCCGAGAACCCGCGACTCCGTTGCCCCCCTGAATCATCTCTGAAGCATTTGAAGCCACCGACGACACCGCACTAAGGCGTCGGCCTGGCCGCTGGGCTGCTCCGTTCGTATCAGACGTGATACCACGAGCTGCAGCCTAGTCATTGTGTTAGTCCAGGTCTCCAGAGGATCTTGCGAGATGTCACCAACCTTGTCCGAAGAGAGCGCAGACGACCCCGCCACCGTTTTCCGTCTGTTCTTAGACTGCTTGTCTTCGTCCTCGTCAGCATCAACGTACATGCCCGGCCTCGCTGGTTTGCGTTCTCTCAGCGACATTCGTGAGGTTGGCCTGCTGACTGGAGCCGGCGCAGGCGCAGGTGCAGGCGCAGGCGGTACGAGATCAGGGTTGAGGATCGACTGCCGGTCCCTTCTAGCCCTAGTTGCTTCCGCATTGAGGTCCTCGGGCTTGCAGCTGTCGACTTGGCGGTCCGACGGGATGAGTAGCCTGCTCAGCTCGTGAGCTGCAACAGTCCAGTGAACATCGGGAGGGGGCGGTGTCGGCGGCCGAGTATATGGCATCCCGTTTGACAGGCCGGACGCCATGCGCCTCATCCTGGCAGGGTCTACGGCCTTACCAATCGACGCCTGGGTAGGTGTAGAGTAAGTTGGCGGCGTCGAGTGTCGTACCGCCTTGGGGCTTGGTGGTCGGTTGCCCATTGCCACCTCAAGCTCGTCCAGCTCAGCGGTTGACCACCAAGCCGGATTGTATGGGTGTAGAGATGCTAGAGATGGGCCCTTGGGAATGCTTTGACCATCAGGAATCGCCCCGGTCATCTGTCCCGCCTCGTGGCCAAGTGACGAGCGACCCCGAGTCGGTTCTGCTGAAGTCTGGTCCCCTGAAAGTCCGCTCAAATGGCTGAAAATGCCAGAGTACAGAGCGCGATCGCTGTAGCCTCCTTCGAGCACACTGATCACCCGGCCGTCAACTCCTAGGCCTTCCTCCGCGGCGATTTTGACGACATCTTGCGCGATACGGGCGTAGAACTCGGTAGGAACGTTCACGTTGTGACGCTGCATACCCTTTGTCTCCCACTCACTGGCATCAAATCCTGCCGAGAAGAAAATGGCTGCTTTCGGGGGCAGGTTGAGGGAGCGTAGGCGAGCTGCTTGCGTTTTGAGATATTTGCGGGTCTTTTCTAGGATGACGGAATACTTGGACTCGTACAACTCCCAAAACTCCTTTTCAGAGCCATACGACTCCAGATGAACGTTGTAGATATTCTGACCGTGAGCATTGTCAATGCACAAACTCGCATTCTTCACCTTTTCTTCGTCTCCCATCTCACAAGGGTAAGAATTGATGTCATGGAGACTGAAGTAGCCGACGGATGCCTTTTTCCAAGCAGCGGTGTTTTTGGCAGCGTTCACTCCTCGTGTGTTGTGCGCCCACGTAATAGCCTGTGAGCCGTCTCCATGGTGAAGATCAAAGTCGATGATGGCCGCATGAGTCAAGCCGTGGTTGAGAATGGCATGCATAATTCCCACATGTACATTATTGATCCAGCAAAACCCGGATGGGTACGAAGCTGAGCAATGATGCCCCGGTGGACGTACTGCAACAAAAGCTCGACGAGGGCCTGAGGTGAAGACGCGATCCACGGCCTCGCAGACAGCGCCTAACGCACCCTCAAACGCTTCGAGAGATTCCGAACAAAGGTATAAATCACCCTCATGGAACTTGTCGGGCGGTCCCTCCGCACCTCGGTTCATTTCCGGTCGCTGAAGCTCCTTTCCGCCCGTTGCCAATTTCGTCTCAGCCACATCGCACATCATCTTGAGCTCCTCCATCCACTTGGTACCATGCACGTTGGTGACAGCCGGCGATGTCAGGGGCAGTCTCCGATCGGTCTTGTAAATGCGAAACGGGATATTCGGGATCGACGAAGGGTCCAGGCTCGGATGCAGTGCATATGCGCCATCGCAATGTCGCTCACCAAGCCGCACGTAAGCCATGGCTACTCCCAAAACACCGGCCTTGATTCTCTCGGGTCGCTCGACGATGGTGCTAAGGGCAGCTCGGGAGGTCTTGGGACGAGAGAACCGGTGTCCGTAGCAAGCATCGTGTAGTATGACTAGAGCTTCGGTGGCACGAGTTGAAGTCGGGGAGTGAAGCAAGTCCAACTCGGTCTTGAAATAGTCGCGAGCAACTGTATTTGCCGTGGGTGGGGGCTTGATATATTCAGGGGGGCTCGGTCGTAGGGGTGATTTGACAACGGGAGAGGACGCATACGCCATGCTGGTCCGTCGCGAAGGAGCTTTACTAGGCGTCCTACTCGAGGAGCCGCCCACAGAGTGCAAAGAACTCGTAGATGTCTTGCGCTGGAGCGTCGGCGTTGAAGATCGCTGGAGCGTTGGGGTCGAGGATCGGGACCGGGAGAGCTCTCTCGCAAAGGAGGGACTGCGGGAGGGTGCTCGAGGACTCGGCGCAGGGGAGGTCCTATTCATAACCGGTCTCAACGGCGAGAGTGCGCTCGGCGTGCGGGGAGAGTTGCTAGCGGGAGAGGTCGAAAGAGACAGCTGCTTGAGCGAATGCGCCAGGTCCTTTTCGCCGTCATTGCTTGTGTTCAGCATCGACTGGCGCCGTGGTGGCGCCCTGTCGAATGGAGAGGCCATAGTAAAGGCGCAAGACCCATGAGATATTGCCAGTAGTTGGGGAAGTTTGCGTTTGACTGAAAAGAGGATTGAGAGCAGCAATCCAGTAGCAGTTCGGATGTAAGTATTGAAACAACAACGTACGGGGTGTTCCTGCTTTCGGCCACTTTCAGCTGCCGACAGGGTGTAAGGTAAAGTGGTAGGGGACTTTAGTTGACCGCCCGCCAGCACATCGTTGGAGTCGCGTCTTCTTTGTGTACATAACACGCGTCATAAGGTGCATAAATGCGATCACGTGGGGTGCCAGCAAATAGGGGATGCGCGGGGCAATCCCGCTGGGCTGAGAGAAGCGCAGGCGCTAGGACTGAGTGGGGTTCAGACGGACCCATGTGGACCCAAGATCGTCACTGGTGCAATGCGAGTTCGGTGTTGATTGTTCACTCTTATCCAACTCAATTTTCTTCACCAGCTTCGCCTGCAACACCTCCGACTGAGATTAGTACAGCCTCTTGACTGCGGATCACGCCGATTCCCCATCTTTTTATCATTCATCACGGGCGGGAGCTGAGGACATGTCGAGTCAACGCCGAAGAAATATTTTTCGCGCCAGGATCCTGCCGCACGGAACGCGCATGGTTTCCGCATGCTTCCCTTGGATGAAGATATAGATGTGCGACATGGGCAGCGACCCTATAGCTTATGATTTAGACTATCTAGTCTAGATCTGAGCTAGTTGGGCCAATCATTGCTTGGTAAAGAAGGTCGAACAGCCACCAGAAAAAAAGAGCTGCCACTCGTGACAACTTTATAAAAAGCTGGCCAACAACACCGCCAACGACTTCAGGATACAGCTTGTGTCTGCCTTTCGTAATCCTGTATTCACGCAGAAAGCTTTTATTCCCAATTGGACGCAAACGGGCCATCTTATCAGCAACTTACGTCGCTATTGTCCTTGCCCGGGCATCTGCAAAGCACACAACATCTATGGAACCAAACGGCAGAAAGACGACCCGACAGTTCGGAACCGAAATTAGGCAGGCAGGATCAGCTGTCCGCAACTTCTCCGTTGCAACCATGGTTTTGAGTGCGATTTGTTATGCATTTTTCTGGTGAGGGCCTGTTAACATGACATCTCATGCAGTTTCCGGTCAGCCTCTATTTTTGTCTCCCATGCTTCCCCACGAATCTCTGAGTGATGTCGAAGCCTCCTCCCACTCCTGCTCATTTCTCGGCTTGACAAATCTAACGCCACCGCTCTTTTGAGTCTTGCTGGTTCAGGCAGTATTCTTCTGCTCTCGGCCATTCTCATTTCTTTTCAACATGGGTGTCTGCAAGTTGTTGTCCTACTCGTCCAACTCATTTTATTGCGCCGCACAGGAACCAACAAGTTGTTGCATCTTGAACTACGTCTATTGGCCTTCTCGTCTGTAACCTTGCTGTTTGGCTTCTCGATACAGCCATTGATTGTTCCCACGAGCTAGGGTAAATGCAAGACGGTCTTGGATCATTGTCGGAGGTCCAGGTGCTGACGAGGTCAAACTATCTATACCTGCTTTCCCTTAAATTTGAATAGAATGACAACAAGTTTTTTCTTCTACTCAACTCTGCTTCAGTCTACTCCTCGGTGCTTGACTCCAAAGTCGAAATGACATCTATCAGCTATTGTAGCAGCAGCCTCTTTGGCATCCTCCTCACCTCCGTCGCCGCCAGCCAAACTACTCCGGACCCGCTCTATACTATTGCCCACGCGGACGCGGTCGCGACGACAATCCCGCCGATACAAATAGACGAATATCTTTGTCATGACGGCCAAACCGTGGCGACATCGTGCTTGGCGTCTTTCGGTGGCAAGGATGAGTTCCGAGAGGCACCTATGTCGAGCCAGATGGAATGCCTCTGTTGCGCGCCTGACCGACCGATCTCGCCCATATGGTCCTCTTGCGCAAACAAACTCCCGACAGAGCATCCCGAAGAGCCTGCAGCCTTGAGCATGGGTAAATATATCTTTTTTGCGTCTCTTCGGGTTATTGAGCCATGCACTAGAAGTTGACGAGCAGAACTGACCGATCACAGTTACGGAATACGGCTTGATGTACATGATGTGCAGTACATCGTCACCATGCCAGCCCGTGACTTCCACGGCCTTGCCTGGCGAGGGTCCTATGGTGACCTCAGACCAGGATGAGAGCTGCCAGAGAATGATGAAGAAAGCCTTGTTATGCGCAGCCTCCAAGTCTGAAGCATCATACTTTGAGTCCGTAGCGCCGTTCGTGGCCAAAACTTCGATTGATATGTCAACGCTAGCCGATTGCCTTTGCTATGTCCCGTGCCTCATCACGATTCAATTGCCATGACAGTTACGTGTCTAATGAACTTGACTTCACGTAAAGCTACACGGCTGTTGGGCGACTGTCCTCAACATTCGCACCAAACTCGTTCAACAACGCCGTTAAAAATGTTACACGTGGGCTAAGGATGGCTATGAGTCGGAATTGGCGTCAGGTAAGCAAGCCTCCGCCCATAGCAATTTCTCTGCGACTTCCCTCTCAGGGTTTCATGTTTGTCACTGACTCATGGTTCTATTATTTGCAGAACTTGCTACGATAAAGGACTTTTATAACAGTTTTGGACCGATTACAAGCCAAGCGGCAGCGACCTCGATCGAGAACACAGTCGACTCTCCTACTGCGACTGCCGCAACGGCAACGGCCCTAACACCAGTCATGACGACAGGTACCAGCGCAACTAACGCAGTTGCCATGCATCTTGAGACATTTGTGGCTGCTGTTCTGCTCTCGCCCTTGCTATCGTCTTGGTAGCTTGTGCCAGGGTTTGGTGGCGTATACACAGATAGAAGGAAAGGTACACGCTGGATGAGGACAAATATCACAGATTCATAGTGGGAACATAATATACACATTTCTTGTAGTTTAACTTTACAGACCTAGTCTGAGTTCATGGCCTGGTCCTCAGCTATGTGATAACTGAAGGCGCAAAGCATGGGGAATCAAGGCTCCTCGTACGCTGCAAGTATGAAGGCTGGTCTACTTAATAAAACGCCGAGGCTTATATCGAGAGGCAAATGAGCCCCCGTGGAATCCAACAGCGTTTAGTTGCTTTTGTGATATGTTTTTCCTCATGTCGTCAGTCATATACTCAACTCAGAGCAAATGGGTAGAACATAACATTGGAAGCAATGTTAGCAGCAACCTAGCATTGTAGGCGGTGGCCAATCCATTCATCGGCCATCAGTACTCAAATGGAATCCAATTCAACTGCAAACGTTCATCTTCCTGAATCAGTAATAATGTGTTTACTCGTTTATTAAGTCAACACCGACTCTCTTCAGAGACTCTACAGCCCATTCAGGGTACTTGGACTTGTCGTCGTACAGATCGCCGAAGAATTGTCTAATCAAGGCAGGGAATCTGTCCTCAATCACGGCTTGACGTATCTCCTTCATCAGGTTTAGCTGGTACCACACGTTGTGTATGCTTAGTAAGTGAGCAGCCACCGTCTCCTTGCCGGCATTATGATTGATGAATGCTCTCGTGACGCCGAGGCCACCCTCCCCTTTTCGACAACAGAGGCACCCGCATCCTTCCTCAATAGGGCCGAAATCGTTCTCGTACCGCCAGTTTCGAACGTTGATGACACCGTTTTTAGTGATTGCGTTTCCGAATCGCGCCGTCCTTGTCGGCCACACGCAGTCGAACATGTCGGCGCCGAGGGCGACGCTCACGACCAAGTCCTCTGGATAACCGATACCCATGACATACCGAGGCTTGAGTTCGGGCAGCAGTTCTGTGCAAGTCTCAACAACACGGCAGTAATCCGTCTTGGCCTCGCCTCCGCTCAAGCCACCTATGGCAATACCGGGGGTATCGCGCGCCAACATCTCCCGTGTGCATTCTCGTCGCATCTCGAGGTCGAGACCACCCTGGATGATGCAGAAGAGGTTCTGTGTGGTGGGGTTCTTGTGCGCCGCGATGCAGCGGTCGAGCCACCTCACGCTGCGCTCCATGGCTTCACGCATACGGGCAGCGTCGGGGGATGTGGTGACCAGAACGTCGTCGAGCTGCATCATAATGTCGCTACCGATCGAGTTCTGCAGCGACATCGAATGCTCGGGTGTGAGAAGCATCGGCGAGCCGTCGTGGGGGCTGAGGAAGCGTACGCCCTCTTCTGTGATTTTCGCCAGCTTGAGGAGACTAACCATCTGGAAGCTGGATGCTGTCAGCTTTCGAAACATGGTCGTGCTGGCTTCAGGACAGTCTCACCCTCCGCTATCTGTCAGGATGTTATGCTTCCATCCCTGGAGCTTATGCGCGCCTCCAATAGCGTCGAGGACATCTTGTCCAGGCTTCAAGCCAAGATGGTAGGTGTTGTTGAGGCATAAGCGACAACTGGTCTCTTCGAGCTGTTCCGGAGTCAAACCTTTGAGAGAAGCTTGCGTCGCGACGGGCATGAAAATGGGGAGTTGGACCGGACCATGGGGAAGCGTTAGGATGGATGCGCGAGCTCTTGTCGTCTAGCCTAAGCCGTCAGCATTGTGCCGCCAGGATCACATGATAATGGTGGGGGTTTCTTCATGGGCAACTTACTGAGCAACGAGCGACAAGCTCAAACGTGAGAGCGGGCGAAGACCCGATGTTGGTTGACGCCATCCTTTTCGCTATCCACATGGGCGCTCACGTAGTCCATGGGCTGCTGGCTACGAAGTGGGAGAAAGTGGGAGAAGATTGAGTGTGGTTCATAATGCACTTCTCCAAAATCGCAGGCGCTAGGCGATGCGTCTTGCCTTCGGCCTAGGTGGGGCTCTATGCCTTTCGTGTCGGTGCTCTTCCTGCAGACTAGGTACTTTTGTGCCTGACATCCTGTGTCATCATACCTCTTTTTTGTCTTTTTGGGCAATACTTGTATGGCAACCCAGCTATAGTCTTCTTCTTCCGTATTTTGAGCAACTTTCTCCAATTTGCTCTTAAGACCGGCTGTATCCTATCACTGCCGTTTTATTTTTGATTCTTCCATGTCGCTCTCAATGGCCTTCGCTTTGAGTCGCCGCATCCCAGGGCCTAAGTTTTTGTATCAGACTATCACAGGAACGCAAGATGGATTTACGATTGACATATAGTTATGCGATAAAACTGTGTATATCTACGGGAACAAAAGCCTTCTTGTACTTGTTCTAGATATGAAGTCTGGCTCTCAGTAGGCTTGTACCTCTAAAGTGAGGCGCTTGAGTGCCCGAATTTGTAGTGGGGTGTGTCACGTCTGGACTCCTGGAGTGCTCCCGGAGCCCCATTGGAACGACAGGGGTAGCTTTCATCCAATCAGAAATCATCGGCTTCTTCCGGTACTCCAATTGAAATTTCTCACGCAACGCTGCATTTGGACGCCATTTCGCGATACATACGACTGACGACTGAGCTCAGCAGAGAGCTTCGACAGCCGCCATGTCTGCCCGATTGTCGCCCGGAGGGGCGCTCCTGAGATCATCGCGGATGTTCTCCGTACCCAAACCACTCTCGAAACCTGGAGGCGAAGCCGCGGCCATTGCACGATTCGCATCCCCGACGGCGACCGCGCCCTTCCCTACACACCAATCCATCACCACAACCGAATCCTCGAGGGTTCTTGGTGACTGGGGCTTCAAGCGTTCTCTTCCGCTCCGATCCACAACGAAGAGCTCGACCCCCGTCGTTCGTATCAAGCAGATTGACTGCTTCGAGAATGTCACCGACTATTCCTCCGCCGCCGACCACACCCTCTCTCTCCAGAAGTTCCAGGAGCTCAATCTACCCATCTCACTACCCGGGACCAGCCGATCACGCCTAGGAGGTCTTAGCATCGGCGCGAAGTCCGTCTTCGAGGATGATGGCGACTTCACCTCCGTAGAGCCTGGTCGCGAAAACGAGGAGAAGAGATGGAAGTTTAAGGGCCCCTGGCTGGCTGGTCTCACTGAAGGCGAGTTCAACCGCTTTCTGCGCAAGAGCGTCCGCAACAAGCGCGAGGCCTTCCGCACCTTCTTGAAGAAGCGCATTGCCACCGAATTAACGGCTGCGGAGCACCAAAAGTCACTGGACGCCGGCAAGGATATGCCCCAGCAGGTCCTGGCCCAGGATGTCACCGAGGAGCAGCTCACCGAGTACCTTCGCAAGCTGCGGTCCGACCGCATCACGCTGTACTCGCTGGTTAGTGAGTTCCTGGACCTCGCGCCCTTGAACCCGCCCAGCTCCCTGTCAGAGTTTGGCAAGTCGGCTGAAGGGACGAAGCGTCCCAGTCTGTATGCCGAGAACGGCCCGCCCATTTCTCACCCTTCGGGCGGTATCTCTTACCTCCGTACCGCGGCCTTCGCTGAGAACCACCCGGTCTACGGTCCTCAGGCACACCAGACGCCCGTCTTGGCCCGTATCGTCGCGCCGAGGTCAGGACCTAGCAACGCGAAGCTGGGTGTGGGTGGTTTCATCACGGAGACGCCTCAGGGCGATACTGCCTTCAACCAAAGATCCTTCCTTGGCCGCAAGTCTGGCATCGCCGGTGTTGCCTCGTTCGACCCTGATATCAACGGCGGCGCCAAGGCTTATGTTCAGCCCACTTCTGCCCGCATGGACTCTTCCGGCTTGATGCAGATCACCGTTAGCGAGGCCAACGAAGAGGCGCAGCTGATCTCCAAGGAGATGGTTGGCAAGGCCAAGATCTACAACGACAAGACCAAGGCTGAGGGTTCGGCGGGACAGGACCGCAGACCACTTGTCCGAACTGTGCGAGCAGCCCAGCAACCGGACAAGATGGTGGTGGGCAGCTCCAAGAGCTATGGACTCGACTCTTGAGCGTTGTAGCGAATGGTAAGGGGGCAGGGTTGCTCTCAGTCAGCAGATCCTGAGCGAAAGTGAACCCCAGACAAAGGATGATAGACCAGTCTGGGAGTATACATCTTTGTATGACATTGGCGAGCATGCCGAGTGTACTATGTATGGTATTGTAAAATAAGAAGAATACAGCCCAAATTCGACGTTTCCCCAAAGCTCCAGGGACATCAATCAGTGTTCCCAGCCCGCCAGGCGGTCTCTGATGATGACAAGGTGTTACCTCAAACTGAGTACCGAAATGATGGCCCGAACTGTCGGATGTGCGAACCTATTCATCGTTCCACTCTCCAATCTCTGCAAAATGAAATATCTTTATTGCTTCCATCTTGCAGCATCCTCCGCAGCACTCAGCACTTCGGCAACGAAACCCCACCCCAGGACGAGGATGCATGGTACGCTATTTCCGGCTTCGTCGCATCTCCAAAAGCGGGCCCGAGCCCGAGCCCGCCCGTGAACTGCACCAGCCATCCGAGTCACGTGTATCCTCCCTGCTCCTGCCCCCTTGGCCCGTGCACATTTCGGTCCACAACTGCCCTAGAATTTTTGGCGAAAGGTAACAAAATTATCTCAGCGCCGGCCCTTTCTCGCGAACATCTCGAAAGCCTCACTAACCGACCAACTCCTCTTTCCAGCAAATCCCTCCTCCCCCGCCAACTGAGCCAGTACCGCCAAAATGGGTCGCGTTCGCACCAAGACCGTTAAGAAGTCCGCCAAGGTCATCATTGAGCGGTACTACCCCAAGCTCACCCTGGACTTCGAGACCAACAAGCGCATCTGCGATGAGATCGCCATCATCGCCTCCAAGCGCCTCCGCAACAAGGTCAGCATACGTCCTCTGGCCACGATCGACACGAGCTCTCTAGACGGTTGTCGACGTGCCGGAAAAGGGAACAAGCTTGCTGACTGAAAATCCCTACAGATTGCCGGCTACACCACCCACTTGATGAAGCGTATCCAGCGTGGCCCCGTCCGCGGTATCTCCTTCAAGCTCCAGGAGGAGGAGCGTGAGCGCAAGGACCAATACGTCCCCGAGATCTCCGCCCTCGACTTCACCCAGAACACCGAGAGCGGCCAGCTCGAGGTCGACGTTGAGACCAAGGACCTGCTCAAGCACCTCGGCGTACGTTCCTTCCCAGCGCCGTCGCGCGGTGGTATCATTCGAGTCGACATGCATGCTGACAAGTACCGCAACAGTTCGACTCCATCCCCGTCAACGTCACCCCCGTCGCCCAGACCCAGGTCCAGGAGCGCGGTGGCCGCCGCTTCGGCGACCGCCCCCCTCGCCGCGACTAAATTATTTCTGATTCGGCTCGGGCGAAAGGAAAATGGATTGGTTTTAACGGACTTACGGAAAACGGCATATGATATCACACATGCTACTACAGGCGTCTTACGGGACGGTAGTGAGTTCACACTCTTAGAACTGCAAGAAAAGTTCTGTTTTCCCACACAAGGTGTCGCCGACTCTCTAGGGTAATTCCGGAGATGACGCTTGACTGCCAATACTCGGTTCCCTCGCGCCGTGATGCTGTCCCTCTGACCTCGTGAGAGCTAAACGGCGAACCTGGGCTTTCTTGCCTATCGTTTGTGCAAGCTCTTGCTGTAAAATGTGATGTTTAAATACTGGTTGCTTTCCTGGGTATCAAGTCTATGTAGGGTAACCAGCCACTGTCGCCAGGTCGTTTCGACCACGCCGTACTCCAACCTCAAAAAATTGCAAATCCCCTTTTGCCCTCAAAAACTGCTGGATCATTCGTTCTCTTTCTTAAACTGGGCTTCGGCCTGGGAAGCCTCGGCTCGAGCCTGCGCCTTTCCAGCGCCCGGCCTGTGTCCCTCCACCATCAGATGGGCATCATCCAGATCCGCAAACGAACCGTCGTCGACCGGCGGCTTCACATCCCTCTCTCTGATTGCAAGGGTAAACATCTTGCCCGACTGGGCGCCCTCCTGCCGTACCTCGCCTCTCTCCAAGGCCAGCGTCGCGGACTCGTCGGCCACCCTCCTGCTTTCCTGCAACCTCATGTTTGCAAGGTCACGCGTTGCTTGTGCCGCTGGGTCCTCCCTTGCCGACCTATCCTCGCCGAGTAGCTCGATCTCAATGTCTGAGATTCCAGCGCGTTCCCAGGCGGCCGTCTCATTGAGCTGGACCTTGATGTAGAGCGCCCTTCGCTGACAATCCTTGGAACACCACTTCTCCGACTCCTTGCGATTGACGATGTCAAAATTTGATTTGCCAAAGTTGACGAGGCGCCACTCGCCGCCCTTGGAGGCCGCCGGCTTAGGCTGGGCGCAGAGGGTGTAGCCGCATAGGCCGTTGACGTTGCGCTCCTCAATGAGGTCGTCGTAGTCGGAAGGTTGGAAGAGGCGGATGTTGGCCTTGAAGTCGGCGACGTCACGGGGCGAGGGGTTTGCGGCCGAGTAGAGTCGACTGCCGCGCTCGGTGGGGTACTCGGACAGCAGGGCCAAGCTCTCGAGGATCTCGAGCTCGAGGTCCTTGCGGTGCTGGATGATGCGGGCGTGCTGGAGGGCGATTTCGCGGGGGTCCTGCTTTCGCGGGTTGAGGACGGCGGCGGCGGCACCAGAGCTGGTAGTGCCGGAGACGCCGGCTGGCTTTTTGAGTATGCCCTTCAGTGGCCGACCATCGGTGGCCATGGTGGGTGGCTTTATGGTTTGTGAGGGAGAAGAGTCGGCGACGAGAATGATGCGCTATAAGGCGTCGAGCGTCCCTCCGATATCAGGTGGCAAGGGGCGCTGTTCGAGTTTGTAACAGTCCAGACTGCTTTCGCAGGTGAGTAAAACAGTTGTCTTGGATACGCAACAGTCGTGGCAGGTGGGAGTTCAGGCACCGAGGTGACAGCGGGCGATTGAAGGCGTGAGTGCTGGAAAATTGTTAAGCAGCACAATTGGAGAAGGTTCGATTCGCGGTGTTGCTTCTGGCTCTTGAACCCCACACTCACCAAATCCCCAAACCACCATTCGGTATTCGGGAGCGGTACGTACCTTACATAAGGTGCCATCCATTCGAGAGATGTTTGGCTTGACTGCCGCCACGACGAGGAGGCCAAGCCGCGCTACACTCAGGCACGTCCGGTCTGTGGCTCGGGGTGCTCGGGTGGCTTGGCTGGCACGTAGAACCCGTCCTTTTCTTCCCCAATGTCTCCATGCCTTCTTGTTTTGCCCCTCGACGGGAGGATTTCATTGGCTTAGCCGGCTGAAGAAACGTAGCGCATCTCAGCGCATTCTCGTCTGGTTTCCCACCTCCAACACTGGTTTGACTGTCTGACCTTTGTGTTGACCGGGTTGCCCTGCGCCAAGACTGACTGACCTCGTCGACTGACTGCTTCAGCAATGCACCGCCATCCCAACGGTCACGTTAACCCAACCTTGCCTCGCCTTGCCTTGCCATCCGGCTATCTGCTTGAGCTAGCTGCTCCTTTACGTCGATCTACCTTGGGCCACGTAGCCCTTTCCCCAGCCAATTGTGACCCCAACGAGGTACCGCCTGGCTGTCCCTTCCTGCACCTAATGTGTTCTGGTGTTGCCGTTGCTGCCGTTCATGATGGTAAGGGCAACACCGTTTGAAGTGAGGCGAGGCATTATAGCGACGCGATCTTTAGCATATCCAATCGGTTGAAGACGGCAAAGTGCAACGACATGAGAAGAGATAAGATCCTCTGCCCACTCTTTGGACGACCGTCGTTAGGAACCCCTGCCCTTAGCACCGTCCCTCGGTGTCTCTCTTGTTCTCTCCACGGTAATCAACCAGAATACCCGGAGGCAACAGAGGGAGAAGGGCAAGATGGACGACAAGGAGAAACAAAACAAAAACGAAAACAGAAAAGACAGAAAAAAGGAAGAACGCATAGAGAAACAATTAAGGAGAGAGAGAAACAGAGAAAGGAAAAAAAAGGAAAAAAGGGAAAGAAAAAGACGTGGGAATTAGATGCTCAGCAGAGGGGTAAAATGAATCCAGGGTTACAGTGTGTCTAGGCAGACGCATCTCACCCGCATTGCGGCTCTCCCCGGAATACCTCCCCCATTCACCTGTGCAACATGAAAATGGCGGCACGGGTAGATAGCCAACAATAGCAGAAAGGAACATTTGTCAAGGTCAAATACAGCGCCTGGGGCACACATGACTCTGTGTGTACGCATAGTGTGTACTTCCCAGGCAAGGACCCCAATTGCCTCCGACACATTGAACTAAGAGAGTTACAAGTTCATGCGCTGACGTCGACGCGCCAGCTTGTAGATCCCTCCACCCCCGTCCGTCGCTTCCTCACAGCCTCCTTCTCCGACTGACCGACCGCCGCTTTCTGCTCCCCCCTCCGCCTTCCCACAGTAACCCCTCCTCGGCCAGTTTGAGGGAGAAAACGTCGCAAACCTATCCTGCGCACAACTCACATCACCGTCTGTTCTAGCTTCGTCCTGCATCGCTGCTGTTGCTCCCCCGAGTGTGCGACCTTGCTGCTCGCTACCAAGGCAGTCCGTCGCTCCTGCAACCAACAACAGCCCACGCAAGGTCCAAGCTGCTGACGACGATTCCGATTCCGTGCCCCACACGCCCAACTGCTGCAGCTCCAGCGTCCATCGCCCTGGCCTGCCCAACTCCTCTTTCGATCACCTAGCACCTCTCTTGTATTCTCCCCTACACAAACCCCCTACGACGACTTCAACCGACGACGACAACGACGAAGACGACGGACGATCCGAACACTGCCGGCCATGTCGACCGCCCCTTTCAGGGTCAAGGCCCTGTTCGAATACTCCTCGCCCCACGAGGATGACCTTCAATTCCCCGCCGGCGTCATCATCACCGTTACCGACGAGGAGGATGCCGACTGGTACAGCGGCGAGTACGTCGATGACGCAGGCGCCAAGCATGAAGGCATCTTCCCTCGCAACTTCGTAGAGAAGATCGAGCCCCAGGCCCCGCCTCGCCCGACCAGAACCCGCCCCAAGAAGGAGGCCGAGGTCACATCCCCAGTAGCGGAGGCGCCCGCTCCAGCTCCTCAGCCCGACCTTCAGCCCGCGCAAGAAGCTCGCCACGAGGTCGAGCAGCCCGCGCCGCCCGCGCCAGCTGCCCTTCCCACCTCGCCCGAAGCACCCGCCGCTCCCGAGCCCGAGCCTGTGAAGGCACCTGAGCCAGTCCCCGAACCAACCCCAGTAGCTCCGATTAGCAAGGCCAGCGAGCCCCCCGCAGCTACGTCGCCCCCTATCGCGAAGGCATCACCTGCCCCAGCGAAGCCTGGCCCGCCCCCCAAGCCCTCCAGCAATGCGTTCAAGGATCGAATCGCTGCCTTCAACAAGGCCTCGGCCGCTCCGATTGCGCCCTTCAAGCCCAGCGGCCTGGCCCAGGGATCCTACCACATCAAGAAGCCCTTCGTCGCCCCACCTCCCAGTCGCAATGCATACGTTCCCCCACCCTCGCAGGCCCCAGTCGCCAAGGTCTATCGCAGAGACGAAGACCCTGAGATCCTGGAAAGAGAGGCAGAGAACCAAGAGAGCGCCGAGAGGGCTGGTATGGTCCCTGGACCCTCCGGTGAGGAGGGCGAAGATGCACCGAAGCCGACCAGCCTGAAGGAGCGCATTGCGCTTCTGCAGAGGCAGCAACAAGAGCAAGCCCAGCGTCACGCCGAGGCTGCTGCGAAGAAGGAGAAGGCTAAGCGACCTCCGCCCAAGAAGCGTACCGACAGCCAGGAGGCGTCCGAGGATGCCGGCGCTGCTGCTCCTGTCCCTGCGCCCGAGGCCGACACGGACGAGGCAGCGGGCAGGAGCTCTGTGGACTCCCCGCGTATGCCGCCTGCGCCCCGTCGCAAATCTTCTCGGGGACCTGCTACCGAGACCTACCACGATGGAAACGAAGCGGATATGTCAGGCGCTGGTGACACCGAAGGACCAGAGGATCTTACCGAACGCGACGACAGTGATGCTGCTCCGCGTCCTGTTCCTCGACCTCAAGTCGCATCACCCGTTGAGGCAAGAAAGGAAGATGAGCAAGTTGAAGAGGAGGGCGAGGAAGAGGAGGAAGACGACGATGTCGACCCCGAGGTTCGCCGAAAGGAAGAGCTCCGAGCAAGAATGGCCAAGATGAGTGGTGGTATGGGTATGCACGGCATGTTTGGAATTCCGATGGGTGCTCCAGCCATCCCGAAGAAGAAAAAGACAGCCGACAGGCCAGCGGAGACCTCCCCGACGGGGGAGCGTGAAGAGGAAACGACATCGCCTGTTAGTCGTGTCCCTGTTCCGGGTATGATGGCTTTGCCCGGAATGGGCGCACCCCGGCGTCAAGAGGAGCCAGCAGCCGCTGATGAGCCTGAGCCCCCCACATCACCGAGAGCGCCGCCTCCCCCTCCGCGAACGGTTGAAGAAGATGATGTCGAGGACGAGCCCGTCACCAGCCCCCCGCCCAGTCGTAAGTCTTCGATTGTCACACTGAAGTTCCCTGCTAATCAACAAAGTTCCTATCCGTGAGCCTTCCGGAGCTCCCCCGGTCCCTGGATCACGGCCTGCGCCGCCACCCGTACCTGCTGAATGTGAGTGTTTCAACCGGCCCCGACGCTGACAATGACTAACAGAATGCAGCTCGACCCCCTCCAATTCCTCCTACCTCTGGGCTTAAGTCACCCAGTGAAGGCTCGGAATCCGACGATGAGTTGTCGGGTGGTGCCCAGGACACTCCCAAGCCCGAAGAAGCACGCGCACCTCCGCCGCTGCCACCGGTCGCAACCTCTGTTCGCTCGCCGCCCCCTATCCCTGGCTCTGAGTTTTCCCCAACTTCACCAACCAGTTCTACGAACAAACGGATGAGCAGGGTGCCGCCCCCTATTCCTGGTGCTGCCCCTCCAATTCCCACAGCTCAGTCGCGACCGCCACCTCCCCCGCCTCCCGGAGGCCCTCTGAGTCGTCAGTCGACGCAGGATATGCATATCGCTTCACCCATCTCTCCTCCGATCAGACCACCACCACAGGGTGAGGACGAAGACGAGGTAACCGAATATGAGGGTGACTACGATACCGACATTGCTTCCTCAGTTCCCCACAAGGATGCACTCAAGTCTCATGCGCGAGACTCTAGCCTCGATGACAACACATCAGTCAGATCACCGATATCTGATGCTCCTCCCACCCTGCCACCGCCCATCCCAACTGGTCCTCCGCCTAGAGCTGCTCCGCCCCCAGTGCCCATGCAGCCGCCATCCGAAAAGCGTCGTTCCGTGGACGTCCCGCGGGCAGCACCGCCACCTCCCCCACCGGCCAGAGACGACGACGAGTATGACCCTTATAACTATGCCGCCCCGAAGGTTCCCTACTCCCAGCGTACCCCTATGATCGAAGAGGAAGGATACTTCCAGGACACTCCCCCTTTGCCGTCGCCTTCGCACACGAGAGCCCCACCTCCTGCCCCTCCCGGAGGCCGAGCGCGCCAGTCTATGGATGTCTCTCGAGCTTCCATGTCACAGCGGCGCTCCATGGATGCACACAGGCCGTCCGTATCTGTAGAGTCGGGCTTTATCGCTAATGACATTGACCTGGCCAAGCAGAGCGGATGGTGGCGCCAGGACAAGACGGTACCACCCGTTTTGCAGGGCAGACGAGACCTTTACTACGAGACTGTCGATTCGACATCGGGCTCTCACGTCACTCGCACCATTTACGTGCTCTTCCAGGACTACTCGCAGACGATCATCACAGTAGAGTACGACCAGAACAACGCAGCAGACGTAATGCTGGACCAGCGACATGACCCACCGCCAAGAGCGCTGCGTCAGGATGAGCTCGAGCAGTCTTATGAAAGATTCGGACGGCCGATTTCCGAAGCGGTCACGTCCAAGAAGGAAACGGTTGTGGGTGATGGAACGCCGCAGGGCCTCATTCACGAGCTCTTGAAGCCTTTCAGCGATGCCCTCGCGCCCATTGGGACCAGAGCTTACGGTGCGCTTGTTTACTCCAACATGGCCAACGCCTCGACACAACAGAACGACCAGATCCGGCCTGGTGACATCATTTCCATCCGCAATGCTCGCTTCCAGGGTAAGCATGGTCCCATGCATGCCAAGTACTCGATGGAGGTCGGCAAGCCCGACCACGTCGCTGTTGTGTCGGAATGGGACGGCACCAAGAAGAAGGTTCGCGCCTGGGAGCAAGGCCGCGAGAGCAAAAAGGTCAAGGTCGAGAGCTTCAAGCTCGACGACCTGCGCAGTGGCGAAGTCAAGATCTGGCGCGTGATGCCCCGAAGCTGGGTGGGATGGAACAGCCCGTCTTAGGGGACGTGTTGGCAGCTGCCGCAGAGTAGGAAAACGACGGCGGGCTCGAGGAGCTCGCTAGAGACGACGCGATCGTCACGGTGGAGGCACAATTCCATGGGAGTCCACGGGTATGACGGGCCGGTGCGATGATGCATTTGTTGCGCGTTCCAGGAAGAGGGAGATAGACTGGCATCTTTCTTCATCTCATTCATCCTCGTGTTTATCCATTCGCTATACGCCCGCAGCATAGTTTTGCTTTAGGTAACTAGCCGTAACGCATTGATTGTTACTTTGTCGTACTCGTCTCCTGAACCTTGCAAACTGCCTCGTTCGCTGTGCCATTTCTGCGTCAAATAACCCTCGTGTCAATGCCCACATACTGCGCATCCCACTCTGCATGTGATGTTCTTTTTCAACACACTTATTTGAGTAAGATCGTACACCATCTACAGATACAAAGGCTTCGGGAAGGTTGCTTCTCAGAGTAAGACGAGCAGAGTCGAGGACTTGACGACGGGTGCTTGAGCAAAAGTGTTTTCGGCTAACTATACTTCGAAGTGTCTTTCTGGAAATGCATGATCTTGAGATGACTACCTAGCTCGGGAGAAGTGTGTGTAATGTTTGAATCGTAATGAGACCCCAACAGAGCAGACCAAGAATCCCTTACGTATTTAGCTCCGCAGCAATGCGACCTGCTAGATAAGAAACGGACCCTGAGAATCTACTGACTGCCATCTCTATCGTCCGTTGCGTGTTGTAATATGTTAAAGACGTTATTTAGTATCGAATAAGAACAAGTGTGATGAAACTAAAATTGCCGTCCATGCCATGATTAGCTTCTGTAACGGACTTGTTTGCGAGATTAGACAGAGCTGAGTCACGAGGCATTTCACATCCTGCTGGGTTGGAAAGTAAAAGGGCGAAGACGAAGCTTTGAAGTTGTTGTTCGACGTTCTTGGCTACCACTCGTTGAGGTGAATACGTCAACGATAGAGAACCAGGGGAGGGAACGAGGAGGAAGGTGTAAAGGAAGCATGCAACAACAAACCGTCTTTTGCTGCGTAATAGTTTCTATGGGACACAAGTGTCTCGAATACGCCAATGAAGCTTATCGGAACCATGTGATGTTCACACAACATTGTCCTTGGTTTTACTTAGAGGGTTCCATAAATTCATCTCTCCTAAGTATAACTTCGAGTAGGTATGTAAGAAACTATGTAGCCCGTGTCCGCCTCCCCAACTCAAGTTCAGAAACGGATTTACGACAAGATATGAGATGAGTGCTGGACAGCGAAGTATTCAGCAAGGCGCAATCTGTCCGGGGCCACGGAGTTTCAGTGTATTTCAGTGATTCGGCTGCGACAAACACCTGTTCCTTTGCCAAGAAACCCGCCTCTTAAAGATGTCTGGCGTAAGAGAGGTATCCTTGAAGATAAGAACATGCCCCGATGAACTTACGGTTGCGGCTTGAAGACATGCCATCTCACCTGGCCCAGGGACAAGAACCGTCTCTGACCATTTCCAGACCAGCAAGCACCTAGAGTTGGCTGTGATAACAAATATCTATCCACCTTGAGACTGAAATGTTGAGACATTTCCTGTAATATGAATCTCGGGGCTCTCTGCGTCATGTTGCTAATTCCCTTGTATACATTCACGCAGAAGATACGAAAAACACATCCTCCAAGTAAGGAACATCAAGGCTCTCAATCTTACTGAATAACGGGTTAAGCCAGGTGATGTGACAGACTAGAATAACGTTAAACTTAGCTATTATTCACGGCACCTTTCGATTTGGTTGAGTCAACGCCAAACAGTCTTCACAGCAAGATTTCTGCTAGAAAACTCGCCTGTTTCTGCACCTACAGCTATACACATGCCAGTCATTCTTCGATGTTTCTGGGCGCGTCATCCGTCCGCCTGTTAGGTTCCGTACCGTAGTGTGAAAACCAGACACGAAAGCACTACCATAAAACTACCAGGCAGATTTACATGTTTTTGGTTTTGACTGTTTCGATGATATTTTGACTAGAAGAGCTTCACAATGCGCTGATATTGATAAGGTCAACCTATTCTTGAGGTCGAATTCACAAATGAAGGTCTCTCCTTGTTATCTTTGGCTTCATCCTTGACCCTCCTTCGTATATTCAAGTGGTCATACCTGGGGAACAGCAAGAACCAGAGATGAAGACGGGTGATAGTCAAGCTTGCCCTTTCTCAGGTGTCTTTGGACAAGGTTGTATCCTGGAAGTAATCCCAATATGGATGCAGCGAGTCATCGACACTGCTCTGCTTGAGAGTCTAGCAAAGAGAAAGGAGGATAGATTTTCTTATATAACACATTACGATATCCAAACATAACATGAGAGCTTGCCAGGCCTCAATTTGCCCCTGACACAACTCAAGCATACATGAACAGTCTCATTCCATATATCACGGCCCGATGCTCCAAATTACCCAATGGTTGATCAACCAAGCAGACGTTGTATGGATCGAGAATCTCCCTCTTGACGAGATCATCTATTAAGTAAAACTGCGCAAGAGAGAGAAAGCTTCAAATACTCCTCCCTCCCCCTTTCCATTACACTCTGAGCAATCAAGGGGAGTAGCCATGGGTCACCAGAGCCCAGGGTCAGAGAAGAGCACAACCCCTTTGAGCAATGTTGTCGCATAAGAGGCAAAGCCGGCATTCTATTGCTATCAAACAACGTTGACTCGACTCCAATAAGCAGACAATGCACGAGTTGACACAAAGAAAGCTGCGTACATCTAACTATGGGACCCATCAACACCTACACCTCAGAGATGTGTTGATGATGCGCAACGGATGGGAGAACCAAATCGAAAACTACACGGCTTACTCAGAGTAGGGCCGCTTCGAACAGGTGAATATCTGCATACCTCCCCCGTTGCATGATGCCACAGATATGGACCAGGCTGGGTGTCGGTCAGATATCGAACATCGTGGAACCCTTCAACAGCCGGCCCAATCCGCTTGAGTCTGCCTACGCCCATGTGCCTAAAAACCTCATCGACACCATGGTCAAGCGGTTGCAAAAGGCACCCCATCGCCTCTACAAGGATCAACGAACCCAATCGCTAAATCGTCGACTCCAAGTAGTAAGACGGCATTCGACTCTTCCAATCCACTCAACCGTCCCCCCACCCACGGCCGTCATCCCACCTCCTCCCATCTTCAAGAGCCCAACCCCCATCTTCACCCACCCTCCATCCCGCACTAGTCCGACCCCCGATACGCCAATGACACCGGCAGCCACATCCCACCTCCCGGGAAACGCACGCGGGACTCCCGCAATTCGTTCGCTGGGAAGGGATGTTTCTGTCTTCATGGTCGAAAGATTGGGGGGGGGGGGGGGGGGGGGGGGGGGGTTGGAAAAAGAAGAGGGAGGGCTCGGCTAGGTTCGGTACGGCCAGAGGTTTGGATGACGGTACCTACACTTGACGCCCGGTTCTTGCTATGGCGCCCGCCTCCTCCGTCTGCGGTGCCTGTATGGCTGAGATAATACGACGGGACGGGTGCCCCCGAAGAAATTTCTCGTCGCGGTGCGGCGGCTGCTGGTTTAGCAGTGGGATCTTCTCCCAATGTGGAATACCCCCGGTGAGAGAATCGAAACTCGGCAGACATGAGCAACCGATGAGGATGGGGTTTCCCGATGCTCTTGGCGCTGATCTCCCCACCATGGCGAGACTCGAAAGCTATCTCTGAATTCATCCATCGCGCCAGTCCCGGACATGCCACTCTTTGTCAAACACCCATCATCCGCACTCTCAACACACCCTCAAGTGAAAGACCACGGCGAAATCCCCTTCTCTACCCCGGACCCGATCGTCGATACGGAGCAAGACACGCAGCTTCGGCCTGCAGACAGCAGCGTGGTCCCACGCATGATGTGACTGGGACCAGGCCGCACGCAGGCCTCTCCGTTGCCGGCGGACGGCTCTAACCTAGCCTGCCACTGCACTGGGAGAATGGCCCGCCTCTTTACCAGGAGGTCCACACCGGGCGATAGAGGCATGCCGGACTACTGCGGTGCAAACTTCCAACACTGTCAAACGTCGTACATGGCTTGCATTCGAGTGCGGGGGAGGCTTTCCTCCGACGAAACGTCTGGACGCCGTGGATTATCACAAAACATCACATGAGCAAGCTTGACCCCAATCATATTCGAAGAAGATCATAGCTACCTTATTGGCGCCTGGTTGGGGGCAAGGCGCTGCTTCAAAGACGACTCTGCGAACCACGCTCTAGACAGGCCTCCCGCAGAGTGGTGTCCAGGTAGGAATCGGCTGGAAAGACAAAAATGAACACCAGAGCCTAGAACACCGTCCGAAAACACAAAACGTTGCATCCGGGTCAGCAGGACGACAAACCGGGGCTAACCAATCGCCGCCGTTGCTGCCGACGTAGCACTCAACCGGGATAGACTTTCCCATTCGCGCTTGCCAGTAGGCGATAACACAAGGAATACCGTAGTATACACTTATACGGGGGATGAAACCACGTTGAAGCCTGATTGAAGTTGAGTCAATGCAACAGCGTTATTTGGGAGACAAATAATCGAGCTACGATATCGCCCATCAGTTTGTTTGGTGAACGGCGCACGTCTCTGAGCAACTAGCGAGGGAGACCACCGACAGCAGAGTTTCTCACTGATGCCCCATGTAACGCAGTATTAGTCCAAAGCAGCCAAGACACCTGGATTGCCTGCGGCCGTCACGATGTAGTCCTATGAATGGGGGGAACCACGGTGCCAATTGATGGACAGGCGCCAGTGGTTATGTGGCTGCTCTGGATTCGACGGAAAGTACATGGCAACATGGGAAACCCGTTCCAGGCATCTTTAGAACTGAATATTGTGATAGTTTGCGGAGAACTCCATAGCCACTTGTTTGTGCTGCTGCTACGACCTTGTCAGTTCAGATCATACCGCATCAGTAACGTAAAGACGATTTTTGATGAGCAGCAGAATTGACAAGACGATGACGCAAGGAAGTTC